GTGTGTATGTGTTGGGGCAGGGAATCAACCTATTTCCCTTAGTTTCATAGATCTGACCAAGAAACTGAGGGGGTAAAAATTTCTAAAGAAAATATGAATCTCTTAACCCTCCTGAGAATGTCTGCTGCCTCGTGGGATCTCAGTGGGTGGGAATGATAGGTATTTGTCCTGGCATGTCTTTGGGGCCCACCTGCCTTTTGACCCCACAGCTGGGCTCCTGGAGCAGCTTGAGGGCCCCTCCGGTCAACAGCCCTAGAGCCAGCACTAAGGCTGGCTGCTTAGGAAAAGCTGTGGCCAGCCCCTTTATCTTTGGCTTTTCTCTAGACTAGGAGGGCTGTGGATTCAGTGACTTGTCTCCTACCACAGCAGCCCAGGCTTTGTCGTCCCACTGGGACAAATAACGATCGACAGATACCTAAACCTTCTTCCCTGCTGGACGTGTAAGCCTGCCACACTCCTGAGGTTCCCAGTGTTGCAGAGGCTAGTGACTTGGGGCTGAGCATTGTCTTATTCTCTCCAGGTCTGCCTGGGGGGTTTCAAGGCCCAGCCTCAGTGTCCCCTGGAAAGTCACCCTCTGTGCCCCAGCCACCCTTTTGGAAGCCTGAAGTGGGATTCCTGGCTGTGTGCCCTGGGAGCTTGCCAGGACCAGACCAGACCATGTCTTTTCTCTCCAAAGCCCCTAGATGGTGATCCCCTGAGTTTTGATGTCAAGGACCCTGTTTATTATCAGTCTGTGACCTCCTTGCACGATATTGTACTTTTAGCAGTGTGTTGGTTGAGAGAGTAACACAGTCCTGTGAACTCAGTAATGCTTTCTAAACGATCCGCGCTTTACCCATCACTTAAGTCAGGCAGCAGGTGACACACGGTGAGTGACTCAGGGTGTAGGTTGGAAACCACAGGTCTTTGGACCTGTTGGCTGCAGCTGATGGGGTGGCAGGAGTCTAGGAAGCAGGTGGACAGGCAGCCTCTTCCATTAGTCCGGAGTTAGAAGCCCCTGGGTCTGCCATCCTCAACTGAACCTCTCTGAAATGTCCCCTCACTACCCTGACTTGTGACCCTACCATGGGGCTCCTGTCCCCGAGATGTCTGGGAGGGATGCCGCCACACGGCCTCAGGCCTCTCGGCCAGCCAGCGTGAGGGGCCTGCTCGGATGGAGGTCGCCCAGGAGAGTGGCCCTGTCTATGGCCAGTGCAGGGTGGGAGCTTGCTGGGCTTGGCTTGAGGCTCTGCCTCCTTGAGGCTCCTCTGCCGGCCCTCTGCCCACAGGCTCCCGATCGGTTCTTGGGAATGGCCGGCAGCAGCCCGATGCAGACTCCCAGCCCTCGGCAGCTGTGGGGTGGGGGCTGGCACCTCGGTCCCCTCGGCTGCTGGGGTAGGGGTCAGGAATTCTTACACTGTGACACTCTCATCCCGGGGGCTCCGGGACCGGCGGCTGCGTCAACAAGATTGGTGTCTTCGCGCCTGTGCTGCGGTAGCACAGACAGGCACCTTAAACCAGATGGGTCAGCCAGGGGTCTTTCGGAGCTGGGGGTGGGGAGCTAGGTAGGTGAGGGGAGCACGTGCACCCACGCCCCGTGGCCTTGGGCAAGTCCCTCACCTTGTCTGTCTCAGTTCCTCATCTGTGCCAGATGCTAATCTCCGGCCTGCCCGCCTCAAATAGAAGGGTAAAGGTGGAAAGGGATAGAAAGTGCTTCCAGTGTGCGAGAATGCCTCAGTTTCTCACAGTTTCTTTCCTGCTCTGCTGGAGCCCTGGCCCCGGGTCCCCTCGCTCAGTCCTTCCCACGCAGCTCGGGTGTGGCCGAGATGGAGATGGGCTAAGCGTCTCTCATACTCCCTGTCCCCCAGCCTCCATGTGTCTGCCCCACGACCCCCGCCCTCCCCTGGAGCCAAACCAGGCTTTGGCCCTTTAGGCCGGTGGGTTCCTAAAGGCTCTGCGGCAAATTGGCCCTTACTTTGAGCAAACCGAATGTGCAGATGTTTAGATCTTACTATAAGGGTTTGGGGTGTTAGATGAAAAGCTGAGCTTCTGGGACTCTGCAGAGGTTAAAGAGCCCCATTCAAGGTGTGAACTGGCCTGCCTTTACCTTCCCAGGCTGCTTGAAGTAGGTTCCACGCTGGGCCAACCTGTCCCCGAGCAGCCCTGAGCTGTGGCCACGTGGTGGTCTCCGAGGGCCCCAGGGCAGAGGCAAGGCTGCGGAGAGCCCCGCAGGAGGCCGTGGGGGCAGCTGACCACAGGCTCTTAGCACAGCTGCCTAAGTGAAACCGGAAGTCTCACCCCACACTGCCAGTCATCTGGTACTAGTGATTCAAGTTCAGACTCAGCAGTTTCTGCTGATTTCCTCCCCAGGGAGTTGAAGCCCTCACTAAGGTTCAGGCCGGAGGGGATCTGGAGGTCACTGCAGCCCTTCTCTGGCTGGAGACCCAGCCCTGAGAGGGGAGGGGCTGCCCGGAGGCCAGGGAGCTGGTTTCAGCAGAGAAAGCATTTGTTTAAGAGCTTGTTGTGTAAACAAGATCGCACAGGGATAAGCTGAGCAGAGGTGAGGGAACAAATTGTTTTTAGGGACTGGGCAGATTCACAGTCTTATCTGGTGATGAAAGAGGCCCCATTCTTGGGAAACTGCTAACCTGTTGGGGCTTCTCGGGGTAGGTGAGAGGCTGGGCCTCCTCGGTGTCTGCGTCCCCTCACCTGTGAAATAGGGCCTGGGCCCCAGACTCTGGCTGCTTCTGGAGGATTTGGCTCTCAGGTCGGTGCCGCGGAGGCTGCTCTTGCTGGAGCCCTGACCTGCTCCGTGTTGAGCATCCTCTCCAAGGGACCAAGGGACGGAGGCAGTGCATTGGGGGAGGTGCTCTGCTCATCTCCTAGGGCCTCCTTGGGAACGGTGAGGGCGGGCAGAAGCATTGGGTGAGGGGAAGTGGGATCTCAGGGAGTGTGGGTGGGTGGGTGTCCCCTGAATGCTTGTGTCTCCCCACCCCGCCCCCTGCCAAGTTGCCCTGTGGGCCTGGGATGGGAGTGTGTTGGGGTGGGGGTCCCCACTCTGTGCCTGCCTGGTGAGCAGTATTCTTTGCGTCTGAAGGGTACACAGGCTTAGGGGAGGTGAGGGGCAGCTTCGAAGCTCTGTGGAGACAGGACAGGTGTTGGAAGCACCGCCTGGGTACAGTGTAGGCAGGATGTGGCCTGAGGTGCAGGTGGAGGACAGGGACTAAGCCAGTTCATGTACATGGGCCATGAGAGCCCAGACGGGCCCTTCTGGGGCCAGAACCTTTTTCCTGGGGGTAGGGGGAGAGGTAGCGTTGGGGTTTTGTACTTTCAGAGGAAGCTCAGTGGTATTTCTAGCCTGGTGGTTTCTACACGTGTCGGAAGCTTCCCTCTGACCTGAGCCCCTGGATGCGGAGCCTCCACCTGGTCCAGCTCTGCCCCAGGCAGCCTCACGAGCCCAGAGGTCTTGTCTGTCCCCTCCCTGCTCTGCTCCACTCGAGTGAAACTCCGTGGCCTGTGGCCAGTGGCCAGGACCCAGTGAGGCCTCTTGGGCTGAGGAGGCCTCACACCCTGGAGCCCAGCCTTGGGTCTCCTGTGACCTGGCTCCGTCCTGCCTCTCTTTGAAACCCCACCACCTCCATCCCACCTCTTCCCAGCAGGCACCAGAAGCCTGTTACCCATGCTGAGCAGCTCTCACTCCCTGAGTTACCACAGTGGCTGCTGTCGGTGCATAACCTCAGGGAGTTTTTGCAACAGGCCTGGAACATAGATATTACTACTGTCCCCATTTTACAGATGGAGAGACTGAGGCCCTAAGAGGTTAAGTGTTGTCCCCAGGGCCACTCAGCTAGTAAGTGGCCAAGGTCAGGGGTCTCTAACCCCATGTGCTCTGAGCTGTGTTGCTCTCTTTGTTCGTGTTTTGTTTGGGCCCCTGACATCCGGGCCTTCTAGAGATGGGTGTGTCATGAACTCACTTGTTGCCGAACAGGACACTCATCGCTCCGGTTCCTGCCACTTGGCTCTTGGGTCTTCCATTCAACTGACGTTCTGGAACTAGCATTGGGGAGCCCTCCACACCCCCACATCGCCCTGCTGCAGGCTTCTGTGTAGCCTGCTCGGCTGTGTGTGCTGAGACTTGCCTCCTCCCGGGCCAGCTCACTAGTTGCAGGTGCAGCTCCCGCCTCTGGCCTCTGCAGCCGCTCCAAGCTGCACCGGGCAGGCAGGGTTCTGGGACAGCCGTTTGCACACAGGTCCCTACCAGACCCCTAGACCGTTTGTCGGTGCCTCCTGAGTGCAGGGTCTCTTCGAGATCAGTCTCATTTGTCCCCAGCCTAATGGGCACTCTGTCCTTCCTTCCCCAAGGGGGCCTGGGCCCAGTCCTTCCTGTGGATGAGACAACAGGCCAGGTATGGGAAGGAACACGGTGGTCAGGCCTGGGCTGTCCTGTGTGGGCATGTCCCTCGCCCATCCCTGACCTCTCCCCCTGTGGGGCCCTCGATGTCTGTACCCTGGTGCCCAGCATGCCTGGAGAGCACCTCTCTGGAGTCAGGTCACTGGGGGATTGTTCCTGGGGCTCTAGAAAACCCCAGTCTTGGATCCTGAAGCTCCCTAGCCAATGGCCCTAGGACCTGATTTTCAGTGTCAGGTGAGCTGACAGGGTCCCATTGGGGCCACAGTCTCTGTTCCCAGTAATGGCGTCTTCTGCTGCTCTTCTAAGAGGTCTGGGGCTCCCTTACCAGACTGAATTTCTTGGGGCAAGAGCCCTGCCCCCTCTGGTGTGTTTTTGCACCCCCACCACCTGGTGCAGGGCTGTGTCATCATAGCATTTGGGGGTATGTGGGGGACCAGAGGGCTGCCCCAAGCTGAGGGTCCCGGAGCCACACACACACAGGTTTATTCACTGTGCTGTGTGTGTGTGTGTGTGTGGTGGGGGAGCTCACCCAGCTGTCTGGGACAGGGACCCCAGAGTAGCAGGGCCTAGGCCAAGCCTCCCCTCATACCCTTTTCTGATCCTTTTCCAGCAAATTGTGGCCACAAATGTGCCCCCCGAAGATCAGGATGGCTCCGGGGATGACTCTGACAACTTCTCCGGCTCTGGTGCAGGTGAGCTGACATGAGGGCCTCCCCCAAGATGGCGGTCAGGCAGCCCACCCCCCCCGCCCCGGCTGGGTCTGGAGGGTAATGGTAGGAAAGAGAATGGGTCCACGCTGCAAGAAGAAGACATGTATGGGTTGGGGGAGTGAATGTTGGGGTTTCAGGAGGCCCCGGGGGCTGTCCACTGCAGAAAGACGGGCTCATATTCTACTAACTCCCCGGGCAAACTTTGGAAAGGTGGACTTCTCCGGGCCTCTATTTCTTCATCTGTAAAATGGGAATATATCTTGACATCATAAGATTGTTGGGAGCTGTAAGGTAACACAGAACCGGGTGGGGTGTAGATCTTCCATAAATGTTCCCTTATCTTCTCCTTTTTCCCCTTTCCCTGGGGGAGTGAAGTCCTTGAGTGGGAGGTGATCAGGGAGGCCTCCCAGAGGAGGTGCTCTTAAGCAGGATTTTGGAAGAGGGTTCTGACTATCCATGGGGAAAGTGGCCGAGATAGGGGCCTGGGAGCTGGAAGGTAGGACACGGCCTCTGTCTTGGGTGTGCTGGGCCTTTCTGGGGGGAGGGCAGGTGAACAGGGAGGGGGCCGGAGAGGTGTGTGTACCGGGGACAAGGCATTCGGGCTCCTGAGAATGCCCCCACCCAGGGAGCGGGCTTCAGCAGCTACTGGGAATGTTCCTTCCCAGACGGCCTTGCTGTGTCTTGGCTCCCGAGACCACGCTCTCCCCAGGCATGTGCAGCAGCAAAGGGCAATTTTCTTCGTCCGTTTTCCAAAGCAGAGTTTCGCCGCCTCTAGTTGTCCCCTGGGGAAACAGCTTCGCACGAAAGGGTTTGCGATGCTGGCCCGGGAGCAGAGTGCAGGTCTTTGTGCAGGCCTTGCTCACCGCATGAGCTTGGCCCGTCTAGATGTTCTGGGCCTTCCCCGCTCCAACAAGCTCTGCTTCTGGGCCTCCAGGTGCTCTGCAAGATATCACCTTGTCACAGCAGACCCCGTCCGCCTGGAAGGACGTGGCGCTTCTGACGGCCGTGCCCACAGCTCCAGAGCCCACCAGTGCAGGCAGCACCACCACCTCCACCTCCGACCTGCCCACGGGAGAGGCGCCCGGGGAGGGAGAGGCGGTGCTCGTGGCCGAGGTGGAGCCTGGCTTCACCGACCAGGAGAAGGAGGCCACCCACCCACCCAGTGAGACCACGCCGCACCCAACCACTCATCGGCCATCGACAGCGAGAGCCACCACGGCCCAGGGCCCGGCCACCTCCCATCCCCACAGGGACATGCAGCCTGAGCACCATGAGCCCTCGGCTCCGGCGGGACCCAGCCAACTTGACCCTCACACTCCCAGTGTGGAGGACAGAGGTCCTTCTGCCACCGAGAGGGCCACGGAAGATGGAGTCTCCACTCAGCTCCCAGTAGGGGAGGGCTCTGGGGAGCAGGTGAGGGCCCCCTGCTGCAGTCGTCTGTGTTTCCTTCCACTCGGGGTAGCTGCCGCTGCCTGGGAAAGCATAGTGCGTGGCGCTGAGGGGCACTGGCTCGGTCATCGGGCACACCGAACCCCGTGTCCTGTAAGCACGCCGCATCCCCCACCATGAACACAGGGTCACGAGGTCCCACCTTCCGCCTGCCTCCAGGGCCAAGCCCAGAGCAGGGCAGACTAAATAGGAGACCAGAGCAAAAGAGTCCTTCAAGGGCGCCTGGGTGGCTCAGTCGGTTGAGCGTCTGCCTTCTGCTCATCTTCTGCTCAGGTCATGATCCCAGGGTCCTGGCATTGAGTCCGGCGTTGGGCTCCTTGCTGAGGGGGGAGTCTGCTTCTCCCTCTGCCTGCTGCTCCCCCTGCTTGTGCTCTCTCTCTGTCAAATAAATAAAATCTTGAAAAAAAAAAAAAAATCCTTCAAGATCGCCTGCAAGAGGGCTTCCCAAACTTAAGCAAGCAAGTATAAAAGTTCTACCTGGTCTAACTTTCTATCTTAGAGTCATGGTAATTTTACACTTTACATTAAAATGAGTGTATTTCTTTTCTTTTAAAGGCTTTTGTCAGAGAGAGAGAGAGTGCGCATGCACATACAAGTGGGGGGGCAGGGGCAGAGAGAGGGAGAAGCAGACTCCCCGCGGAGCAGGGAGCCCGATGCGGGGTTCGATCCCAGGACCCTGAGATCATGACCTGAGCCGAAGGTAGACACTTAACCGACTGAGCCACCCAGGTGTCCCCCTATCTTTTCATATAAATACATGTGCCTTGTATCACTTGATGTGATATCTCTGCCACAGTCCAGGGTCTGGTGTGATAGGATGAGAGGTGCCTGGCTTTGGGGGTCCAGGAGGTCTGCATTAGGTGCGTCTGAACTGGTGGCGGTGGTGACCAGGGAGGCCCAAGCTGCTTCTGGGTCTGGAAATAAAACTGGATGCTGCTGCCAGCAGAGGCCCACCCCAGCCTGAGACCGTCCCTGCCCCCCCCGTAGGACTTCACCTTCGACCTGTCTGGGGAGAACATGGCCGGGACGGCAGTGGAGCCTGACCAGCGCAATCAGCCCCCAGTGGACCACGAGGCCTCACAGGGCCTCCTGGACAGGAAGGAAGTGCTGGGAGGTGAGTGTCTCTCGAGTGGGCGGGAGGGGGGCTGTATTTGTCTCTGGAGCGGGGCTGACCACGGCCGCCTTCGGGGCCCCGCCTGGTGTGGGGGGAGACTGCTGCTTAACCCCGGGAGCCCCACGCTGAGCCGGCCTCCCTGCCCCCCACAGGAGTCATCGCTGGAGGCCTCGTGGGGCTCATCTTTGCCGTGTGCCTGGTGGGTTTCATGCTGTACCGGATGAAGAAGAAGGACGAGGGCAGCTACTCCTTGGAGGAGCCAAAACAAGCCAACGGTGGAGCCTACCAGAAGCCCAGCAAGCAGGAGGAGTTCTATGCTTGACGGGGACCATGCCCCTCCTCCCCCTGCCACTTGCTAGGCCCCCGCTTGCCTCTTCCATGAAGAACTGCAGGCCCTGCCTCCATGGCAGCCCCCCAGCGCCCTGCCCGCGGACCCCTGGGGCGCACTGGGGGCTCTCGACGCTGCTTCTCTGACTTCTGCCTGAACACTTGGGCGCAGGGGCTTTCTCGCGCGTGACCCTTCCACCACAGCCAGCACCTGGCATCTCCTGACTCCGTTTCTCCAACCTGGAGCAGCCCCTCCCCAGGCCCAAATCTGGAGGGGAAGGGGGGACCCTGCTGCTTTGGCCCTGGATGGGGCCACTGGCTGGGGGCTGGCACATCTGTCGCACTTGCTGGCGGAGACCCCTGATCTGGGGGCGTTTCCATCCCCAAGGGGCGGGGAGAGGCGTTCAGAGCTCCATCGGATTCACATTGTTTTGCGGGGGGTGGGGGGGGTGGGAGGGTCTCCTTTAGATATCAACTTGTTTTTGCACATGTTTCCTCTAGTTTCTCTGTTCGTAGCCCAGTAGACTTTGTTACTCCTGAGGTAAGTTAAGTAAATTGATTAGGTTACCCCCGTCTTGCTTCCCCTAATCAACAGCGAGGAGACAGCATCAGGGTTCAGACTTGTTTTTTTGTTTGTTTGTTTGTTTGTTTTGTTTTTAAACTAGGAGAACCAAATCTGGAAGCCAACATATAGGCCTAGTTTGTGTGTTGTCTCTGAGTTTGTCACTCACGTGTGCAACAGGGTATGGAAGGTCTGCCGGGTGGCCCCGGGGCTGGGCTGGCTGATCCCGGCTGCCCACGGGCAGTCGCCGCTGGAGCAGCGGTGCCGGTGGCCATGGCCATGGGGCCGCCGCTGTGGCCAGGCTGCTGTAAAGCAGAGGAGCTATGGGAGAATGGAATCCTGGCACCTCTGGCCAGGGACCAAGGAGAGAGGACTGTGGGGCGGGAGACAGGGCAGTGGGCCCAGAGAGTCTCCCGTAGACCGAGCCCTGCCTTGGGTGCCCCAGAAAATGTCTCTGGGGGACATTTTCTTCCAGAAGGTGACGTGAGGGGCCTGGGCACACACCTGGCACGGAGCCGTTCCACGCAGGACCAGGTTCACCTTCAATTCGCTCCGGTGGCCCTGCCCTGGGCTGGAATCAGGAATGTTCCAAAGAGTGATAGTCTTTTGCTTTTGGCAAAACTCTACTTAATCCAATGGGTTTTTCCCTGTACAGTAGATTTTCCAAATGTAATAAACTTTAATATAAAGTAGTCATGCAAACTCTCCTGCCCTTTGCTGCTTCTGTCTGTGCTGGTCGTGTGGACGTGACCAGCTCTTTCTCTAAACACAGATGATATTGGGAAAACTTGGCCAAGAACTCTGTGCCTTTATCTTTCCCAAGAGGAGAGATTCTGGGGTCGGAGTCCCTCTGGTTGGTTTGCTTTTCGTTTTTTTTTTTTTGTCTTTGCTAAAATTCTTCTGAAGGTCAGCAGGTTTGGCCAAGGTTATAGAAGGCCTGATAGAAATTTCTGTGTTGCCAAGCTCGAAGCACTGTCTCCTCATCGGCTGGAGAGGCTGTGGTGGCTCAGCCCAGCCTCGGCGGACACCAGTGGCCCCCCGGCAGCCTGCCTCTCAGACACCTTGGATGGACCTCCCCTCACACATTTGCTAGGACCCGAGGCCCCCGGCCCAGCCCTCCTGGGAGCCCCTGTGCTTGCCTATTTAATTTGACCTTTCCAGCCGCTCTGTTGGCCGTTCCAGGAGGGGGGCCGTCGTGACGCAGAGCGATGCACCGCCAAGCGAAGGGCACCTGTGCTCTGTGTTCAATACTGGGACTTTCTGCCTGGAGCGTGTGACTGGACGTGACTGGGGAGGGGGGGTGCGGGGAGAAGGGTGGGGAAGGGGTCCGTGACTGCTCATCTCTGCTCATCCCTGGGATGGCGCCGAGCCTGTGGCTAGGCCCATTTGTGTAACTGTAATAAACGGCACTTGTCATTTTTTGGGCTGTGGTGGTGGTTGAGTCTCTTCTTGGCCTGGCCGTGCCCTCCCCTGTCCTCCTCTTGGAGGGTGCCTGGCTCTGGCCTGCGCTGTTGGTTGGTGAGGAGCAGCGGGGTTAGGGCCGGGCCCTGTGCTGTAAGGCAGGGCTGTGTCCCCCTCTGCCCTGGGTCTGGCCTTTGTCATCTCACCTCCTCCCAGGGCTCTCGGTCTGTCTCCTGCCCAGCCCGTCCTTCTTGCTGTCCTTCTAGATCATTCCCTACCTTGTGAGAGCTCCCTAAAAGTTTGCTAGCTACTCTGTGCGCTCATCATCCTGCAACTCCTGAAAGCCCACCAGCAGCCGGTCTCAAGTGCCAAAAGCCTAAAAATGTCTACATGTTAAGGAAAAACGACTGAAAATTTTGGAGGTTGAAAACGTGTAATGCACTGTAGGAGCCCCAGTGTTCTAAGGACGTCTGGCTGCCCTCCCCTTACTCAGAGTCCCATCCAGGCTGCGGACGCCCACCCGGCCCCTCAGCCGCCCCTCCGTGGCAGGTCTCCCTGCCTGGGGCCCTTGGCACCCGCCCCTCCGGCCCTGGGTTTGGAGGCTGAGACAGTCCTTAGCTCATTCATTTGTTCAACATCAAAAACCCTGAATGCCTGTTTTCTGCCAGCCCCGGTCTGGACAGTGAAGGTTCGGTTGTAGAACAGGCAACTTCCTACTCTGAGTTCACTGTGGGCCAGATGCTGCTGGACACCACCCTTGGATTATCTCCTCCGCTACCCACGTCTCCTAACCGGTCTCTGAGACCGCGCTACTGTTGTCATGCCCGCTTCGCAGACAAAAACTGGCCCAGGGAGGAAGCAGCTTCTCACAATTGCATGCCCGTGAGCAGGGGAGCTGGGCTTCGGAAGCAGGCAGCCTGGCCCCTGAGCCCACAGCCGGCTGTGCACCCACTGAGGCGACACTAGGACCCAGGAGGGCTGATGACCCTTCCACGTGGGACCTGCAAGGTTCCAGGACCCAGTGTCCCGGGCCACCCACTCCTGTCCTCTCCAAAGGGCAAAGCTGTGCCACTGCCCAGAGCTTCTCTTGCTCTGCCTGCTCTGAGCCCCTGCCGGGGTCACCCCGACCCGAGGGCACCACCGGTACAGGGTGGTACAGGAAGGTGTCCTAAAGCTGGCTTTACAGGGAGCCTAAGAGGGAGAAAACTGCAATGGGAAGGGGTTACACGGCGTCTCCAAGTTCCTCGGGCACCCGGCCTCAAGGAATTTCTCTATCTCTTCCTTCTCAGGCCTCAGCTTGCTGCCCTACCCTCCACGAGCTTGACCTGCTTTCCCCCCTCTCTTCTGCTTTCCCAAGACTCTCCCTCCCCACTCCTGGGGACGGAGCAATTGAGCGCTATTTCCTTTTCTCCTCACCTTTCCAGCGAGCCCCTGCGCGCCTGGCCATGTGTCCATGCATTGTGTGGGGATGGGGCAGTCTTGGAATTTCCTACCAAGAGTGCTTTCGAGCTATTTTCTAAACTAATGAGCCATCTTCTCTCACACTGATGGTGTTGCTTTCTTCCTTTAAGCCGGTTTCTGCTTTAAATGGCACTTTCTGCCTTGTTTGTCTCTCAGGTTTTTCTCCAGCTCACGGCTCACCCTGTGCTTGCACTTCCAGCAAAGATGCGCAGTGTTGCTCTCAGGGGTGTCGCGGTCCCGGGGCTCGGTGTGGGCTGGTGGGGGAAGGTGGGCACCCAACCCAGCGTGACGCTGGGGTCAGGGGAGGTGCCCGGAGGCGGCATTGGAACTGGGTCTTGAAGGACAGAGGTCTCTCAGACAGGGGGCTGGGGGGGGGTCAGGGGGAGGCATTCCAGGTGGAAGGCACGGCTTTGGCTAAAAGCAGGGACTCGGGAGACTTGGTGCTGCCGTTGGATGAAAGCAGGTGTGGGGAGAGGTGACGTGGGGATGTGGCGAGAAGTCACGTGCAACTTCTCTGAGGGTCTCTGGGGAGCAGCTGCGGGAATTGCAGAGGGATTTGGGGCCGAGGCCCGGGACAGTAGAGAGATGGGGAGGACGGGCTGGCTTTGAGAGCTGGTTCGGAGGGAGAACTGGCAGAACCTGTGAGGCCTGTCCCTACTTCGCTGGGTGTCACCTTGCCCTCCCCCAGGTGCGCTTCTCCAATGGAGTCTGAGGTGGTCCTCTGGGCCGGCCCGTCACAGGGTGGGGGCAGGGTAACGGGCGGCAGAAGGGACAGGCTAGGCATTGTTGGTAGGTGGACCCCAAGCAGCATCTGGGGAAATGGGTCCGCAGGGGGCCCCCGTGCAGAGAGGAGTGTGGGGCTGTGCTTCCACCTCCAAGGCACCGTGTCCTCCACTCTCCCCATCAACCGTACGCCGTCCTGCCCCTCTCCAGCCTGGAGAGCAAGGCAGAGGAGCAAGGAGGGCGGGCCGCCTTGGAAGAGGGGGGCGCTGGTTCCTGGAGTTGTGGGGGCAGGAGCTGGAGGAGAGGGTCCTGAGCCAAGGGACCCTCGAGGGGCTTGGGATCCTGCCAGCCCTGCCTGGCCGTGGGCACCGCCCTTACCTGGCTTCCTCCCACTCCCCAACACCATTGCACCCTGTCACCCCGGGCCATCCTCGAGCCTTGCCAGCTCTACACCCACTCTGAATGTGGGTGTGAGGGCAAACGCACCCCTAAGTGAGCCCTGCTATCACACACCTGCTTCCCTTCGAGCCTGGGCCCACAGCTCTAGGGAGAGGCCCTGTGTCTTCCATGCCCCTTAGCTTCGGGCACCTCTCACCACGTCACCGAGGGATTTGCTTCCACAGTGGCATCCTGCTATCCTGGGTGCCTCCTGAGGGCAGGCGCTTTATTATGATCCAGCATGACGCATGGGCTCACTGCAAAGAGGGGGTCTGCCTTTGGGGCGCTCATTGGAGCCACCTGGTGCTGCTGTATTGCTCTGAAAGTCAAGTTGTCTTTAGAAGCTTATTCACAGTGCAAGACACCACCACACCCACCACAAAGGCTGACATTAGAGATGGACGATAGTG